ACCCATGGAGAACACGGCTGTCTAACCCTCTGCTCTGTGGTAGCGCAGCCCAGCTGAGCCACAAGCAGCTGCGGGAATGGGGGCGTTTCAGAGGGAACAGCTGCTGTCCCAGAAAACCGGGATGGCTCTACATGACAGACGGACAGTCCTCTCGCTCGCTCAGATCGGGACTCTGTCTTCACGGAGGAGGGAGGGGAGTAGTCCAGCAGTGGGTCAAGAGGAGCCCCACCCAGAGTTCTAAAAGGACTAGAAGGATGCGTCACCCTGCATAAATTTGCCATCAGCCGGTTTAGGGCCCTTTGTGCTCTGTTCTGGTGATCCGCAATACATCAGATGACCTCGTGTTCATCTTGGGTCAACTTGTTTGAATTCCCTCTCATGCCATTGGAGTGTTCCAAGGCCTTTCAGGCTAAGAATTCTTATTGTTGCTGGGTGCTATGGAGTCGATCCTGACTCAGCGATCCCATGTGACCGAGTACAACTGCTGCATAGGGTTTTCTAGGTTGTAATCTTTGTAGGAGCAGACTGCCAGGTCTTTCTCCTGTAGAGCCAGTAAGTGGGTTCAAACTGCTTTCATTTAGCAGCCAAGCACTTGACCATTGCACCACTAGGGAGTTCTTAAAAAAAAAAAAAAAAAACTGTTGCTGTTGAGTCAGTTCTAACTCATAGAGGCTGTATAGGACAGGGTAGAACTGCCCCATGGAGTTGCCAACAGTTCTTCAAACTGGTTCATGGCCAGCGAAGTAAAATCGGAACAGACCTGAATTTTTAAAATTTGAGTGAAGAAGTATGGTAAGCAAAACGGGAAAAATTATGGGTCAAAGCCCGGGAATGGGAGACTTGGAAGAGGCATAGTGAGCCCTTTCAGGAGCCTGATGTGGGAGATTGGATTATTGCCAAAACTGTGAAGAGTGACATACATTTAAAGCGGTGCGGTCGGCTGCCATCTTTGAGCAGGGCACTGTTGTTTCTAACTCTGCCGGTCAAGAGATTTGGTTGCTGTGCAACGCACGTGCTGCCCTTGTTTTATAAGCGGAAGATTAAGTTTCTAGCAGGGCTTCTACCTGTAATTTTTTTCCCATTCCGATTACTGTTCTGCTTCACCCACATTTTAGAAATTCGGGTCAACCATGACTGAACCGGGCAGTACCAGTTCAAAGCCCTGGTTTCCCAGGCTATAATCTCTACTGGAGCAGATCTCCAGAGCTGCTGGTAGGTTTGAACCACCGACCTTTGAGCGTTTAACCACTGTGCCACCAGGGCTCCTTCAGGGAGTTCTTGCTGGCTGCTTATCTGAGTGTGAGCCCTTGCTCTAGAAGGAAGCCAGGAGCCATGGGAGGGGAAGTCATGGGATAAATACTCTGACAAGGAAGAGGATGGCCAACATCAACAGCCCCTTCCTCACTGAGAAGACCTTCTTTACAAACCACAAGGATATATAGAAACCTACCTGGCTGCTCATAGGCTCTGCTGGGTTCCTTCCAAGTGTACTGGGCAGTCCTCTAATTCCAGATGGCCTTTCAGAGTTGGGGGGGTCAGTATTTCATTCATAAAAGAGCCTCTGAGAGGCTGTAACGGATATATCATGCCCTTACACACACACACACACACACACACACACACACACACCAGTTGCCGTGGATTCGACACCGACTCCTGGCGACCCCCGTGTGTGAGAGTAGAGCTGTGCTCCATAGGGTTTTCAACAGCTAAGTTTTTGGAAGTAGATTGCCAGGCCTTTCTTCCAAGGCACCTCTGGGTAGACTTGAACCACCAATCTTTCAGTTAGTAGCCAAGCACCTAACTGTTTGTGCCACCCAAGGACTCCTTGTCATGCCCTTGTCAAACTCATTGCCATCGAGTCGATTCAGACCCATAGAAACCCTATAGGACAGAGTAGAACTGCCCCATAGGGTTTCCAGGGAGCAGCTGGTGGATTCAAACTGCCGACCTTTTGGTAAGCAGCCAAACGCTTAACCACTGTACCACTGGGGTAGGGGATTCATGCCCTTACATCCTCCTTAATATGTTGCGGGGGCATTCCATCACCACTAAATCAAGCCATGCCTTCCAACAAACCAGAAGGGTATATGTTGTAGCCATAAACATAATGTAGGTTACCAGTCAGGGCATATCCACCTCAAGGGGTGTGTGGGTCTGGAACTCAGTCTTTTCACGCATCTCTCTTTTCTGGAACCACCCCTAGTAATTTGTGTAAGCACCCAATAAATTAAGATCCTGCCAAGGACTGATGAAAGATTTTCCATTATGCTGAAGTGTGCAGTATACCTGCAAGTAGTGTGGGGGTGCTTGTGCTAAAGACAGTGTGCTGTGGCCTTAACTGACATGCATAGTGGAACAGGAAGAAAGGATATTTCCATTTTTTTGCCGGCGATTTATTTTTCCACTAGGCTGAAAAGGCTTTGGACAAAGATTCCATAAAAGCCTCCTACAAACAGGAATTGGACAATTAAATATTCTCGTCATCAGCCTTTCTGCAGAGTGGATTGCAGAGTGGAGCTGAGCCTCAAATAAAATATTGTTTCACCACAGCTGGTCAGTAAATAAAAGCAAATCACGCCCATTTTCACAGTGGAGAAGCAGCTTTCCTACCTGACACCATCAGCTTCTCTGTTGTTTTTGCCCAGTGATATTTCTATTTCAGTGGCTAGAGGTCTCATTTAGTGTAGGAAGGAGAAGTCAGGAAATACTTCCCATGAATGGCGATCTGTTGTTGTTTGGTACCGTGAAATCCATTCTGACTCACAGTGACCCTATAGGACAGAGCAGAATTGCCCCATAGGGTATCCTAGGCTGTAATCTTTACAGGAGCACATTGCCAGGTCTTTCTCCCACGGAGCCGCTGAGTGGGTTAGCAGCCGAGCACTTAACCACTTCACCACCTGGGCTCCAAATGGGGATCTACCCCATTTTAAATAAAAATGCCCTCACATCCATTTCACTAGTGTGCTTCCTTTCAGGTTCCTGTAGGGTGCCCTTCGTTCTTCCACGTCTGCCTTGAGTCAAGCACAGCCCTGTTCCCAGACAAATGAGGGGTTCTAGGAAGGGGCTGACTATTACCAGCTGGAAGCAGTGGCTTCTTAGCTGATCCACCAAAGAGCTCCAGGTCCTGGGCACATTTCCTGGTTCAGTGTTTTGCAAAATGCAAGTTTTAACTCATTGATAGATCATGAAATACACTTAGTGGCTTGTCACTAGCATTTTGTGAAACAAAGGAAAATAGAATTAAAAATTTCAGATCAGATCGTTGCAGGTAGTAAGGGTAAGTATCGTTTGGCGAGACCTTGGTTTCAGGGGTGTGTGTCTGCGTGCACGTGTGTGTGTTTGCATGTGTGCGTGTGTGTGTGTACTTTGTCACAATGTAAAATGATATTCTTGACCGTAGGTCACTGAGGAATCGGTTGGAAGAACACTTCTGGTGGCTTCAGGAGAGGTTTGCTAACATCGGGAGAGGTCATTTTACTGGTTACTCCTCTAGGGCTTAGTCACACATTCAGAAGTTAAACAAAACCACCTCCACCACCACAACAAAAAGAGTAAGCATGGTGGGCAGTTGGGGTGGAAGTAGGGGAGAAATCAGGAAACGCAAAAATAAGAGACCCTGGAGTGTCTGCACTACTTGTAATTAAACTTCTGGATGCATACCTTCCCGCCAGGGGGAGCTATGGGGAAGGGATTGCATATGAGTAAACCCTTCAATGGAAATGGCTCTATTGCAGAAGGGGTCAGGCACCACCCCAGGACCACGGTGGGGGCGTGACTTAGGCGGTAGCCCTTCACAGGAAATATTCCAACATTGCATGGCTGGGAGGTCTAGTTGTAATCTGGAAGGAAAGTTTATGTGTAGGAAGCCGGTCCACCTGTGAGCACACAGCTCTGCCAGCCTCGCTTTGGGGCTGGCGAGAGGACCAAGGTGTTGCGGGTCGCGCTTGGGGGAGGCGACAGTGGTGTTTGAGAGGGCTTTACCCTCGGGGTCAGGCACACGTGAGATCGATCCCTGGCTCTGCCATTTACAACGCTTGGCCAAAGCATTTCAAGCTTCTCTAAGCCTCAGTTTCCTCATCTGTAAAATGGGGATTTAAAATATCTACTTCATAAGGTTGCTCTGAGGGTTCAGCGGAGTTACCGTGAACTATAGTTCCCATCCCACTTCCTGTTGTCCGTTTGTTGTACTGTGGTGGATTACGTGTTGCCGTGAGGCTGGGGTCTCTGCCACTGGTATTTCAAATACCAGGAGAGTCACCCATGGTGGACAGGTTTCAGCAAGCTTCCAGACAGACTAGGAAGAAAGGCCTGGCAATCTATGTCTGAAAAATTAACCAATGAAAACCCTATGGATCACAACAGAACATTGTCCGATGTAGACTTGGAAGATGAGCCCCCTGGGCTGCAAGGTACTCAGAATACACAGTGGCTGCAACAATAGGCTCGAGCACATCAAGGATCATGAAGCTGGTGCCGGACCAAGCAACGTTTTGTTCTGCTGTACGTGGTGTTGCCATGAGTCAGAGCCAACTCAACAGCAACTAACGACAGCAACATAGCTCCCATCTGCCCCCGGGAAACAGTGAACGGACCATAGGAAGGATGCTTTTGTTTTCCTTAACCATCATCGGCTCAGATAAAGACTCATTGGTACAAGGGGAAGGGACAGGAATGGGAAGGCGTGGTCCAGAGGCCAGGCCCTGACTCTCAGGTGGTGGCTCAGCCCCGTCACCCACTCGGGGCTGCCGCTCACGTTGCAGACAGCCAGGTCGCAGCAGGGACTCCCCCTCCCACGTCACCACCAAACCTTGGCCCTCCAGCCTCAGCACAAGGCTGGCAGCAGCTGCCATCTCAGCAGAAAGAGTCCTCCCTGATGTTTTGGTCCTCTGCCCTTGTCCGTGCGTAGGACTTCACTCCTGTTCTCCAAGCAGCTAGGAAATTGTTAATATCCCCGCCCCAGGTCTCCGTAACCAGCAACTGCGGCTCTCTTTCAGGTGGAAGATATCACCGCCAGCCATGAGGCTGCTCTCCTAGAGATGGAAAATAACCACACGGTTGCCATCGCAATCCTGCAGGATGACCACGACCACAAAGTCCAAGGTAACCCCCAGCCCAATGTGTGCAGCGGGCAGGGCTGGCCATGGGAGCCGGCCCTTTCCTGCAGAAGCAAAGCCACAGCAGTGTGTCGGGTCCCTGCCTCCCTTCCTCTCTGTCTCTTTCCCTTCGTTTCTTCCTATCCTGTGCGTCCTTTGTGTTGGTTCCTGTGGAAAGAAGAGATAGAAATCAAGGATCAAGGTAACTTCTTTCTTCCAAAGCAGTCATTCTCAACCTTGCCTGATCATTAAAATCCCCTGGGACGCTTTAAAGAAATACTTATGCCTACCTGGCCCCCTCCCACCCCCACCCGCCCCCAGGAATTCTGATTTAGTCGGTCTGGGGTGCTTCATAGTTGATTCTAACGTGTACCCAAACTTGAGAGCTATTCTAGAGTAGGCGTGGAATGGAGGTCTTGCGCTGTCTTGTTTTTTGGCCTTTTAAAATCAAATGGCAAACCCCACGTGGATACACGTTTTGTACATGTGTGTCCTTCTCAGAACCATTAAAAAAAAAGAAAAAAAACCATTGCCATCTAGTTGATTCCAACTCATAGCAACCCGATAGGACAGAGTAGAACTGCCCCATAGGGTTTCCAAGGAGCAGCTGGTGGATTCGAACTGCTGACCTTTCGGTTAGCAGCCAAGCTTGTAACCACTGCGCCACCAGGGCCATGACAGCCTCTAATGGCATCTCAGCCTCCAGATCTTGTGCTCACAGACCGCGTTCACAGTGGGCTGAAGTTGAGCTGCAGCAACCTTCTTTCGCTATTTCTGTAACTTTGAATTATCTTTGGATACTTAAGGGTTTAGCAAAATTTTAAGGAGCCCTGGTGGTGCAACAGTTAAGTGCTCGGCTGCTAACCGAAAGGTCGGTGGATGGAACCCACCCCAGCAGCACTGTGGGAGAAAGACCTGGCAATCTGCTCCCGTAAAGATAGAGCCTAGGAGACCCTAGGGGGCAGTTCTACTCTGTCACATGGGGTCGCTACAAGTCAGAATCGACTCAACGGCACACAGCCACAGGAAGATTTTGACTTTGTTAAAGAAGCAGCTTTTGACACTTGAATGTGCACTTACATTAATACATACAATTTATTTTTCAGTTTTTCCTCCCCTCATTTTTTCTCCCAGTCACTGGTTGTTAAAGTGTATTAAAAACAATGAATTTTTAACATAGATGAATAAATTTTAAAAATTTGAGAATTGGCATCAGAGCTTTCATTATCTTTGAAATGGTCTGTTGTAGAGAGGGGCGCCATGAGTCAGAACTGACTCAACAGCACCTAACAATAACAACAGACAGCAGCCCGCTGGGCAGTAACCGCCGTCCAGCCCCAGCCCCACCGCCTCTGAGAACTATTGTTGTTATTAGGTGTCTTCGAGTTGTTTTTGACTCATAGCGACCCCATGTGATAGAGTAGAACTGCCCCATAGGGTTTCCTAGGCTGTAATCTTTATGGGAGCAGATTGCCCCAGGTCTTTCTCCCAAGGAGCTGCTGGGGGGTTCCATCCACCAACCTTCCAGTTAGCAGCTGAGCACTTAACCGTTATGCTACAAGGCCTCCTCTGAGAACTATTAGTAAGTGAAAACGTCCAAGCTGGAGGCAAGGGAGGTGGCTTCTTGGGAACTACTGAAATGCATTCCCTGTGTCTCTATAGCATGTCTTAATGCAGAGGGCGTGCTCAGCGGTGATCGGTGATCGCACACTGGAATCATCTGGGGAATGTGCAGACCTGCTGATGTGTGGGCCCCACCCCGGAGGGTCTGACGCCGTTGCTCTGGGTGCGGCCCTAGCGTCAGGCGTTTGGTCTGTTTGTTTTTAATTAATTCTTTTTTTTTTTTTTTTTATTGTACTTCAGGTGAAGGCTTACAGAATAGTTTCTCATGAGACAGTAGTACACATATTGTTTTATGACATTGGTTAACAACCCCACAACATGTCAACCCTCTCCCTTCTTGACCTTTTTTTTTTTTTTTTTTTTTTTTGGTGAAAATATACATAGCCAAAGATACACCATTTCAAACATTTCTCCATGCACACTTCAGTGACATCGACTACGCTCTTCCAATTGTAGCATCAGGCGTTTTTAAGGTCCCCCAGTGATTCCGACCCACCATCTTAGAGTGCCACATTAGGCACGGGACAGAGGGCCGTGAATCCAAAATGAAGAAATCCATGACGGGGACACAGATATTAGCAATGGCTTATGCCATCTTCAGAACAGATGCTGAGTTTTCTCTTCCCTTGGGGTATTGGATCATGCACTGTAGGAAATGGTTTCAGGAAAGGGAATTTGAATGGAAACGGCATAAGGCACCCGGATGCTGTCTTTGTTTCTGGATTTTCATATAGTAAATAGACCTGGTAGATTTTTCTAACTAATGAAGTCTCTGTCTAGACGCCACATCCCAGGCCTTGGAATTTATAAATGTCAAGACAATGTGGGCGTATATAATGCTGGCCTAAAAATTGTATTATTAAGGTTAGGAGGATGCTGTCAATGACTATTAAAACTAGTCAGTTAGACAGAAGCAGGTAGACGAGAAGGCCACATTGTTTTATGTCAATAAAATTGGAATTGAACTCTTGTCCAAATGTAAACTTCAGCAATTACAACTGAATTTCTTAGAGACCTTCACCACCATTAGTTAGAAGATTTGGGTCAGTGTAAACCACAGTTTTTCCTGACTGCAGCCCCTGCCAGCAAGAATGGTAATTGTCGGTCTCCAGTACTCTTCTGTTCTAAGCATGATTAATGAGATCTTTCCTCCCTCCAGTTATAGCATGAAAACAAATTGCTTGTGTAGCCAGAATGAGATGGGCTTCACCCGGCTAATAAGACTCTTCCCATCTGGAGGGAAATAGACTCTGTTGTGCTGAATAACTTTTACATGACATCTCTTTCTGCCTAACTTGCAAATTATTGCCAGGATGACACTTTCCAAGGAGCAGAATTGTTATAAGCCCTCCTAGAGGAACCAGTCCAATTAGTCCTTCCTTCTGCCTGAGTGTCCTGACACCGAATCTTTGCTCAAGCGAATCATGGAGATCGGTGTTCTCAGAGTGTGGTCCAGAGACCCCATGGTGTCCTTGAAGACACAGCTCTGGCCTCCCTTCCCCCGCCTTTCTGCAGCAAGATGTCTGCTCGCAGCTCCCTCTCCTGGAAAGCTCCCCTCCTCAGCCCCAGATTGCTGCTCCGCAGTGGGACAGAAGAGGGATCCTGGGAGAGGGAGGAAATGGGATTTAACGTTGAGTAACCAGATGCTTGAATCAGTGAATCCTGTGAACGAGGACTCTGACTTGGTCAGGATGGCGGTAGATCAAGGAGTGGATATGTGTGAGTGTGTGTGTGTGTGTGTGTGTGTGAGTGAGCGTGTGAGAGTGTGTGAGCGAGTGTGTGAGCGAGAGTGTATGTGTGTGTGGGAGCAAGAGTGTGTGTGTGTTGTGTATATGTGTGAGTGTGTGTATGTGTGTGTGTGTTGTCTGTGTGTTAGCGTGTATGAGTGTGTGTGAGAGGATGCATATGTGAGAGTATATGTGTGCATGTGAGTGTGTGTCTATGTGAGTATGTGTGGACATACGTGCTCTATTTCCTTTCCACCTGGTTTCTTCCCTCTTTCCTACTTTTTTTCTCCCTTTACCCTATTTCTTCTTTCTTTCTCTCCCAAATAACAAGCTGGTCGTCACATAAAATTTCAGAACAATGGAGGAGTCTTTTTAAGCTGAAAGCTACTGTATACAGGGGTCACTTATTTACCAGGAGTCACTAGGCTTAGTGTGGCAAAAGAATCTTGTTTTATCCTTTTCAACAGAAAGACTAACATAACACTTTGCTGTCTTCTTTCCAGAACTGATGTCTACCCATGAGCTTGAAAAGAAAGAATTGGAAGAAAATTTTGAAAAACTGCGGCTGTCATTACAGGTTAATATTTCCTTAACTCTGATATCAAAATAGCAGCAGCAGCAGCATTATTCCCATCTACGAGCATTTATCCAGCGCTTACTGTGTACCATTAACCCGTTACTGTCGAGTCAATGGTGACTCATAGTGACCTTATAGGACAGAGTAGAACTGCCCCGTAGGGTTTCCAAGGAGCAGTGGTGGATTCGAACAGCCGACCTTTTGGTTAGCAACCGAGCTCCTAACCACTGTGCCACCAGGGCCCCGTTACTGTGTGAAGGATCCTGTATTAAACACTGGAATATAGTGAAGTAAATAAGGCAAACACCCCGCCCTTGAGGAATTTGCTGTCTACCCGGACAGCCGTGACACAGACAGAAGCAGCCAACCACACAAGGTAACACATTTTTTTACCAAATGAATCATACAGTTAGGGAGTGCTACGAGAGTTCATAGGAGCCCTGGTGGCGCAGCAGTTAAGCACTCAGCTGCAAACCAAAAGGTCTGCAGTTCAAACCCACCAGCCAGTCCTCAGGAGAAAGATGTGGCAGTTGGCTTCCATAAAGATGCTTTGGAAGCCTGATGGGGCAGTTCTACTCTGTCCTGTAGGTTCGCTATGAGTCGAAATCGACTTGACAGCAACAAGTAAAGTCACTTCCTTCCTGCCGGCTTCAGAGAGCACTGTTAGGGAGAGGCAAGGCATCCCTCTTGCCAGGACATTGCTATCATAGTAGTCACTAGCAATGTTGAAGTTATCATCATCATCATCATCACACCATTGGTGGCTCCTGAGCTGCCCATGCTGAGCTAGGAGCCAGCTGGGCCTTTGTGCCTCTTAGCCTGACAGAAAGGCACCAACCCAAGAGGAAAACCAGTCTCTCCTGTCTGAATACGGCAACACCATCCTATCCCCGTAGGTCTGCTCTGAGTAATAGTGAATAAGGCAGAAAAACCACAATTTGGTGTTTTAGATCCGTCCTAGAAGTCTGTTGTTGGTTTTGTATTTTAATGGAGCGGAAGAAACTTGCTGGAAGTGCTTCCTTTGACAACAGTGAGGTAGGAGCTGTGCAGGAGCCGTGCAGACATAGGGTCGGTTTATCATCCCATCCTGGGAGGAGGTGACTGCTGCCTTGCAATGGGCGTGTGAGCCGGGGGGACCCAGCAGTGGTCATCCTGGACCATGATCGACACTTGCCAGCTCACTTGCATATAAAGTCCCACTGAGAACTATATTGATTCATTAGCGTTTGCACTTAATGGCACTGTGGGGCTTTTATTTCTTAAAAATGAAGTGGAAATGACTGGGGGAAAAACAAAAAAAAGGCAGTGGGGTGGGAAACATACCTGCTCGGGGAGGTTTACCAAACAAGGCTTTCTGCACTGATGAAGAAGAGCAAAGCCAGCACACTGCACACGGCGTGCACACTAAACACGGCCTGCACACTAAACACGGCGTGCACACCACACACGGCCTGCACACTACACACGCCATGCACATTACACACAGTGTGCACACCACACACGGCCTGCACACTACATACGACGTGCACGCTACACACGGCCTGCACGCCACACACGGCCTGCATACTACATACGACGTGCACGCTAGACACGGCCTGCACGCCACACACGGCCTGCAAGCCACACATGGCCTGCACAGTACACATGGTGTGCACACTACACATGACATGCACACTACACACAGCCTCCACGCTACACACGGCGTGCACACCACACATGGCCTGCACATCACACATGGCGTGCACACCTCACATGGCCTGCACGCTACACACGGCCTGCACGCTACACATGGCGTGCACACCTCACATGGCGTGCACACTACACACAGCCTGCACACTACACACGACGTGCATACTACACACAGCCTGCATATGGTGTGCGCACTTCACACAGCCTGCACACTACACGGCCTGCACACTTCACCTGGACAGCAAAAAGTAAAATAAACAGTTGCCATCCAGTTGACTCCATCTCCTGGTGACCCCACTGGTGTCAAAGTAGAACCATGCTCCACAGGGTTTTCAATGACTGGTTTTTCTGAAGTAGATTGCCAGGCCTTTCTTCTGAGGCAACTCTAGGTGGACTCGAAATGCCAACCTTTTGGTTAACAGCCAAGCATGTTAACCTTTTCACCGCCCACTTCAGTTTGAGGGCAGGGGGGATTTGGATGAGGGGTGACAGGACCAGGTTTGCATTCTGGAGTTGTAATGCAGATGCCAAGTCCAGGAAGGAGTCAGTGGGTGGCCTGAGCTGAGGCAGAGGGAGGGGGAATGGAAGACAGTTAGTGGATACGAGGGTTACTCAGCCCCGTCGCTGTCGGGTTGATTCTAACTCTTAGTGACCCTACAGGACAGGGTAGAACTGCTACATAGGGTTTCAGTAAAGATTACATAAAGGCTGAAATATTTTCTTTTATTGTACTTTAGATGAAGGTTTACAGAACAAATAGTTTCTCATTAAATAATTAGTACACATATTGTTTTATGACAATGGATAACCACCCCGTGACGTGTCAACACTGTCCCTTCTCAACCTTGGGTTCCCTATTACCAGCTTTCCTGTCCCCTCCTGCCTTCTAGTCCTTGTCCCTGGACTGTTGTGCCCTATTATGAGGCTGTCTAATCTTTGGCTGAACGGTGAAGCTTGGGAGTGACTTCATTACTGAGCTAAAATGGTGTCCAGGGGCCATACTCTCAGGGTTTCTCCAGTCTCTGTTAGGCCAGTAAGTCTGGTCTTTTTTTGTGAGTTAGAATTTTGTTCTACGTTTTTCTCCAGCTCTGTCCGGGACCCTCTATTGTGATCCCAGTCAGAGCAGTCAGTGGTGGTAGCCAGGCACCATCTAGTTGTACAAAGTCTGAAATCTTTACAGAAGCAGACTGCCACATCTTTCTCCCTTGGAGCGGCTGGTAACTTCAAACCACCGACCTTTCGGTTAGCAGCAGAGCGCTTTAACCACTGCACTACCAGGGTTCCCCAGGGATGCTAAGTAGGTAGAATTGGCAAGCTTTGATGGCTAACTTGATAACTAGTGTGTTTGTGGTGGTGAAGGGGGTCCCCAGGCAGAGAAAGAAGTCAAGGGCGGTTTGACAGGTTCTGGCTTGAGCTTTATAAAGGATAAAATTTGTTCGCGACAGATTAATTGAGGTGCTTCCTAACATCAGGGCTAGATGCCATACCGACTAGTTGCAGAATTCGCTCTGCTAATTTCCTGACTCTGAAAGATCAGATGTGAAACGTTCCCCATTCACAAGCTTCTTATTCCAGGGGTCAGGTTGCATCTCAGAAGACCCACAGTCCGGATGCCTGCTTTGAGAATTCCCATGCCCGCTGTTGATTCGCTCTATGTTTGGCATAAAAATCCACTTCTTCATCTGTCGATGTGTTTGTGGTCTACTCTGGACAAGGCAGGAGTTTCCGGGTGGTAAAAACGGTTAACATGTTCAGCTGCAAACCAAAAGGTTGGAGGTTCAAGTCCACCCAGAGGCACCTCGGAAGCAAGGCCTGGTGATCTATTGAAAAACCAGCCATTGGAAACCCTATGGAGTGTAATTCTACTTTGACACACATGGGGTCGCTATGAGTCAGAATTGACTGGATGGCGACTGGTTTTCTGGACAAGGTGCCAAGGAGGGGGAGAATGAGGGGGCGTTAGGGTGGCTCTGCCTTCATCATGCAATGGCTGGAAGCTCCCTCAAGCTTCCACTTGATTCTAGGGACGAAACCCTCTCTGTTCATTCCCCCGAGAGGGGACATCCAAGTAGCCTCTGATCCCGGTACACTTTAAAGGGCACACCAAGACACGGTGATGGTCCCCTCAACCAGTTCCCCAGGCTGCCGCGTTCCCAGGGACCAGTGTGGGCTTGTGTCATTACTTTCAGGACCAGGTGGACACGCTGACCTTCCAGAGCCAGTCTCTGCGGGACAGAGCCCGACGGTTCGAGGAGGCTTTGAGGAAAAACACGGAAGAGCAGCTGGAGGTAGTCGACCGCTTTCCAGACCTTCCAGGCGCCAGCTGGCCCTAATGAGTCACTTTTGTTTAGCCTCACCCCAGCGGAGCCACGTGGCACCCCCCGCAGAGCCCCCAGGGAGAAGGTCTCCATGCTGATCTGCTGCAGAAGTAACAGCTGCCCATGACCTCCCTGGGGTTTTTAAACATAGTCCTGTCAGCACGTCTCCCCTGAGGCCAGTGAGAGCTGTAGGTTTCTCCTTCTAAATGTTGGTCTTCCAAATTCCACATCCCTCCCCAGCCAGTAAAGGAGCCCCGGTGGCCCAGTGGTTAAGTGCTCGGCTGCTAACCGAAAGGCTGGTGGTTCGAACCCACCTATCGGCTCCACAGGAGAAAGACCTGGTGATCTACTCCCATAAAGACTACAGCCTAGGAAACCCTATGGGGCAGTTATACTCTGTCACATGGAGTTGCTAGGAGTCGGAATTGACTCGATGGCACCCACCAACAAAAACAGCAACTCCGGCCATTGTCCTTGAGCTCCTGTGATCAGCACGTGCTGGGACCTCTCCCCCCTGGCCAGTATCTGCCACCGCCCCCTGTCCTGTTCTCTCCCACAGCTAAAGCACAGCGAGGCACTAGCTGAAGCATTTAGTTTGTAGGCTGAGGGGAATTTTTTCCAGAAAACCTGGCAAAACTCCTTCCCTCTAACATGGGATTGCCAGATAAAATGCATGCCACCCAGTTAAATTTGAATTAGAGATAAATGAACTTTTAAGTACTATAAGTATATCCCATGCAATACTTATGTTAGATAGATAAGATAGACAGACAGACAGATACAGATTAAAAATGAAACACCTCATTGCCATCAACTTGATTCCGACTCATAGTGACTGCAGGACAGAGTAGAACTGCCCCACAGGGTTTCCCACTGTGCCACCAGCGTTCCAAAAGGCAACTTCTTCCCTTGGCCTGTGAGGGGATAAACCTATACGTATATATGGTTTATCTGAAATTCAAATTTAACTGGATGTTCTATATTATTATTTGCTAAATCAGGCAACTCTACTGTGCCTTTTTCTAAAATGACTTTTCTCCCCTTTAAACCACTGCTCTCATCTCCAATGCGTGGGTGCTTCTCCCTGGGTGCAGCTGGGACCTATAAGACCCTCACCTGCCTGTTGGGCCAGCTAGTCTGGGTGAAGGGGAAAAGCCAGTATTGCATTTTCTGTTTTCCTGCGTGAGTTCGCTTTTAGGGACGGGCTGGTAGCGGCCGGCAGTTCCAGCATCCAGACCTTTCTGTGGCTCTATCTCTCCCTCTCCCCAAAGAGCTGGATCTTTATCAGCTTTCCCAGTGGGAAACTAATGGGGCATCTTCATCAGGAGAGGCCGTGAGCACCCTCTCTGTGTCTCTCATTCTCTCTCCCCCTCTCTGTCTCATTCTCTCTCCCTCTCGCTCTCTCTCTTATTCTTTCTCTCCCCTTTTCTCTCTTCCTCCCTCCCTCCTTCCCTCTTTGTCTCTTTTATTTTCTCTCCCATTCTCTTTCCATCTCTCTCTTCCTCTTTCTCTCTTTTCCTCTTTCCCTTCCCCTCTCTCCCTCTCTTCCTCGTTCTCCCATTCTCTCTCTCTCACTCTCTCTGTCCCATTCCGGTTGCCTGTTGGGCAGCTTGATAACAGAGGCTAGCTGCAGAGGCTGCATGGAGGTGGCTGACACTTGGGCGGGACCCGGGGCACTGGTTCCTTGCTCTCCCCCTGCAGGTTGCCCTGGCTCCCTACCAGCACTTGGAAGAAGACATGAACAGCCTGAAGCAGGTGTTAGAGATGAAGAACCAGCAAATACACCAGCAGGAGAAAAAGATCATAGAGTTGGAGAGGCTGGTGAGTGGGTGTGTCTGCAGGAGAGCCCAGGTGACCTCTAGGGGCACCCCTGCTGCCCTCACTGATGTCACACTGATGCCATTTAGTGGGCGTGCCCCACACCTGCTCATTGCTTATGTCTGAGCTGAGTCAGAGGTCTTTCCTCTGAAGCCGGGGGTTTGGAGAAGGGATCTTGGAGGTGGCTTCATTTTGCACAACTCTGGAGCCCCTCTGATGGCCTGCCTCCAGCCGCAAAATGCCATTTCCTGTCCCTCTCGCCATCTTCTTTCTTTCCTGCAAAGCACTGTCTCCTCCTCCCTACTTCTGGGATGTCTGCTGAGCCAACGTTGATCAAGTGTTGCTGGGTGCCAGCACTGCACAAAGCACCTGGCAGCCATTTGTTGTTTTAGCTCTGAGAACAATCCTGTGGAGGAGGTACTATTATTAGCCCCATTTTAAACCCAAACCAAACCCATTGCCATCGAGTTGATTCCAACTCATAGTGACTGTACGGGACAGAGTAGAACTGCCCCCACAGAGTTTCCAAGGCTGTAAATCTTTATGAAAGCAGACTGCCACATCTTTCTCCCATGAACTGGCTGGTGGGTTAGAACTGCTGATCTTTGGGTGAGCAGCCAAGCACTTTAACCCCTGTGCCATTAGGGCTCCTTAGCCCCATTTTACAGATGAGGAAATGGAGGCCTAGGGAGATGGTCAGTTACTCACCTTTGGCTAATACAGGGCAGAGCCCAGGGGGAGTGCTGAGTGTGGTTACTCTAAGTCCTTGCTCTCACTAATACTTCCACCTCACCCTTCTAGCCTGACCCCTGCACAACTAGACAAAGGGCTCCCCAAAGGGGCAGCAGAACAACCTGGATTTCACTCCTGTACCCTTTGGGCAGGAGGCAGTGGTGGTCCAGTGGTAGAATTCTCCCCTCCCATGCAGGACACCGGGATTTGAACACTTCATGTGCTGCCATCACCTGTCTGTCACTGGAGGCTTGTGTTTTGCTTTGATGCTGAGCAGATTTCAGTAGCACTTCCAGACTAAGACAGACTAGGAAGAAAGGTCTGGCAGTCTACTTCCAAAAATCTGCCAGTGAAAACCCTATGGACCGCAGTGGTCCTATCCCATTATGCATGGGGTTGCCATGAGTCGGCGGGCTACTCAGCACTCTAGGGCCACGAGACCTGGGCAAGGGCTAGAGTCCAAGGCGGGTGTCCAAAGCTGGACGCACAGAAGCCTGCTTCCAAGGAGACCTAGTCTTGATGTGGAAGTTGGCCCAACGGTCTCAGAAAGGTTGTTTTTCTTTTCTTTTCTTTCCTCCCTTTTTTAATTGGAGTTTTTCAAATAAGCTTTTGGTATTATGAAAGAAAAACTAGGTGCATTGTAGAAAATTATAAGATAAACAAGAAGAAGATGAACAAAAATAAGAGAATAAAAGCATCATATTTCCACCACTCACTGTTAACACTTTCCAAAGTGTTTTCTCTCTGTGTGTCTACACACAGACACACACAAACACATATTTTATTGTACAAGTGTTTCGTATCCTGCTTCCTTTCGGTTAACAAATCTTTACCTTGCCATCTCAGTCACATCTCAGCTAGTTTTCAGTTTCCCGTTTGTCCCTGAAGTGTCCCTTGCAGTGCACACTTACATGTGCCACATCTGCAGGGCACTCACGGGGGATTTGAACGGTACTGAGATATTACTGTGGTGCACACACCAGCTGTCCACTAAAAAAACCACGGTCATCCAGTCAGCGCCAGAACACACAAGACGCCCCCAGACTGTTAGTGCGTGGGAAGCAGATAGCAATCAGCGCACACATAACCGTTTCCTGACGGGGAGTAGGTGTTGACTCTTACATCGCTGGGCTGCCACATCTCTTGGCTCTCCCCGCTTCACTGCTGGTCCAGCTCTCAACCTGCAACCTCGGACATTCGTTGACCAGCATATCTCGAAGCAGAACTACTCTGAGGGCAAATCCTACACGGGGTGTACCCAGGCTCAGTGGGAAGGCCCCCTTAGCTTCAGACGGGCCTCCCGTGCCTCAGACAGACTCCCCCGCCCCGCCTTGGACAGGCCCTCTGTTATCCAAACCAGGATCCGATCCAGGTCCACCTGTCGCATGAGGTTATTATGTCCATCACAGCCCTCTTGTGCTGACGCTCTCTTGTGGTAGGGGTGCTTGTCCGTTAAGTTGGGGTCAGGGTGAGGCACCAACTTCTAGTTACCAGCATCCTGGGTAATGCTGGCCACCTGGCAGTTCCCCGCAACACAGAGCTTCCCACGTGGCCAGGACTCAGGCCAGTGAGAGCAGCCTGGCCCTGCGGGGACCAGCCGCTGTGAGCATGACCCCTCTCCACCAGGCCATCTGCATCCATTGTGCTGGTGACCCCCCAGCCTCTGGGTTTGTTGGGCTGCTTTTAGCCACATTCCAGGCATCCAGCAGGCAGGCATGACTTCCCATTCCAGAGGCTTCCCAGGGAAAAGGCGTCTATTTAATCGTGTCCCATTTGCTGAGAGCAAAGACCAGGACTGGGGGTGAAGTGACTTGCTGAAGACCAGGGACAGAGGCCAGCCCTTTGGCTCAGATTCCTAAGCCCTACTTACAGAGAAGTGATCATTTTCTTTATAGATTAACTATGCTAACAGTAAGTTAGTCACATTCTTTTCAAACGAGATTTCTAAATTCGTCTTAGAATGTGACCGCAGGTCAGCTAGGTTTCAGGCCCTCGGGGACGCACTGTCAGAGAATGGCATAAATTGCTGGGGACTAGCAACCATGGACAGAGCCCTGGTGGCCCAATGGTTATGCACTCGGCTGCTAACCAAAAGGTTGGCAGTTCAAACCTGCCCAGCAGCTCCGCAGGAGAAAGCACTGGTGATTTGTTCCCTTAAAGATTACAGCCTAGGAAACCCCATGGGGAGGTTCTGCTCTGTCACATGGGCTCACTATGAGTCAGTATTGACTTGACAGCACACAGCAGCCGTGGGGTGATATCATTTTCTGACAATGTACCAAGCTGGCCTTGGGCTCTGTGGTCCTGCATACCCATAGCCTCAGAAGAAAAGTGTGTGTCCACATTATTTATATTGCTTATCATCCGTCAATTGAGAACACCATGTCGTGCATGTACACTTAGCCAGGGACGCTCATGGAGCACAGGGGGCCCTTTGGGAAGAACCATGGGATCATTCCCCAGACTTGGTCCTGGTAGTGTTCCAGGCTCCTCTCTGACAGTGGCACCGGCCTGGGGACACTCCCTGTAAAAAAGTATCTTTCACACAGTGTCTTGGCTTCCTAGTGCCGCTGAAGCACAACTTCCACAGGTGGGTGGCTTTAAAGAGCAAAATTTATTTTCTCATGGTTCTGGAGGCTAAAAGTTCAAGTCAAGGTCTTGGCTGGGTATATTCCTTCCTTATTTGTAGCCCCAGGTGTTCCTTGCATCTGTCTGCCCCATGTGTGTGTGTGTGTGTGTGTGTGTGTCTGTATCTATTCTGCTCTTCTTATAAGTCAGAAGTGATTAGGTGTAGGACCCACCCAACACCGGTATGGCCTCATTAACATAACAAAAAAACTTTATTTCCAATCAAGATCCCATTCACAGCTCTTCAACACATATTTTGGGGGGACAAATTTCAATCCTTAATACATAGGAACCCAATATATACATATACACATAATATCTATAAAATACATATATATGTCAGATATATATCGGTTTGAAAGTTTCATGTAACAACTCTTTTACTACATACAGTGCACTCTGGTATTTTCTGTTCTATTTTATTTTTTATTTAACAAAGAAATGCCGGTCTTGTCCCCCTAAAGCGATTTTACAACCCACGAGTGGATTGCAAACTTCAGTGTGCAGAATGCTGTCCTTGGTAATCCTCTAAAGCCTTGAAGCCAAGGGCATGGGTTACTTCCTATCCTTTGGCCACGCTGAGACCTCTTCAACACTGCATCCTTTGCAGGTGGAAAAGAACATTATCCTGGAAGAAAAAATCCAAGTTCTCCAGCAGCAGAATGAAGACCTCAAAGCCAGGATCGACCAAAACACTGTCGTCACAAGGTAGGTGGGCCTGCGTGTCCGAGCTCATGAAGAATGTGTCACCTACAAAGGGCCATGGCTCTTAAGTGTCTTCCTGGGCTCTGTGTTTGCCCCAAAGTCCAGATTACCTCTCTCCTCTGAGCTGTGAGGCTTCCACACACTGCCTCTTGGAATGTCCCACAGGAATGGAAGGACAAAAACAGTCCACCATGCCACCTAGCCTAATGGCTTGGCTCTTATCAATGGGTCCTAAACCAAAACACCAAACCCTTTGCCGCTGAGTTGATTCCCACTCATATAGCAACCCTATAGGACAGACTAGAACTGTCCCTAGGGTTTCCAAGGGATCCTACTGCAGGAGAAATGAGTGAGAAGCAAACATGTGCAGCAGGGACCTCCCACATGCGGCAAGGCTGTGGGATTCATTTCTGGAGGAGACCCGACCCCTGGAAGTTTTGGAGAGGAATGCCCCCAGAGTGTTTCCAGGAAAAACCAAGCCATCAGCGATCATGCCAGACCTTCCTTAGCTCCTCAGTGCAGATGGGCTGGGCCCTCGGCCACTGCCCTGTCTTCTGGGGCAGCCTGGAGGAGGCAGTGCAGACTAGGCCTGGCCACGGGATGAAGGGTTGGAACATGCTGGAACGAAGCTCCATAGCTGAACACAGTGGATCCTCAGTGATGCCGTCTGCATGAATAATAGCCAACATAAGGCTGATTTCCAAACTGTGAGGATAACTCATGTCCTCACTCTCCCACTTCATCATCCTGACACCAGCCACCCACATGGCACTTTCTCTCTCTGACCCTAACCACCCAGAGCTGGGGGTCTCCACAGTTAGGACTCTGCCCTTCCAGCCCCTGCCAAATAAGCAAACACCAGCCTTTCTGGTGGTCCTGTCTGTCCCCGATGGGGTCGAGAATTCACAAGAGCTCACAGAAACCACCTCTGCTTACAGTTACCCATTTATTATAACCAGAAAGGATACGAGCAAAGAGCTGCATCAGGCAAGGTGTGGGAGAGTTCCCAGGGACGAGCCGTACCCTCTCCTGTGCATGCAAGTTCTCACCAATCCAGGAAGCCCCAACAGAGAAAGCTCCACCACTGTCCAGGGTCCCTTAGTCACTGGGACCTCGATGAATATGCATGGTTGGGGCCTTAATGCATAGTTAGGATCAATCCAATCAATGAATATACATGACTGACTACATCATGCCCCCTCCCTTCCTGAGGCCTGTTGCCAGGGAGGGGTCTGTGTAGCCCCCTACTTACCTGCACTTGTTTAAATTTGGCTGTTTTAGAAAGACAAAACCTGTTGCCTATTGGAGTCAGTTTCGACTCATAGCGACCCTGGAGGACAGAGTAGAACTGCCCCATAGGGTTTCCAAGGAGCAGCTGGTAGATTCGAACTGCTGACCTTTTGTTTAGCAGCGGAGCTCTTAACCACTGGGCCATCATGGCTCCTTAGAGAGACAAAAAGCACTTTAATTGCTTAGGCTACTTAAAAAAAAAAAAAATACAGAGACAGAAAACCAAACTGGGTTCTTTGTCCCACACCATCCAGCATCCATCTCTGGTCCTGCCTTCCCAGGTCCCCGCCCTGACTTCCAAGGAAGGAGATGGAGGCACCTCCCTTCTACAGCTCAGAGCTGAGGTACAGCAGGCTATTTGGCTTGAGGTTATTTGGCCCATGAGGGCTGGGCCGTCTCCCTGAGATCTGTGCCTCAGCCCTTAGCCGTGCAACACATCTGTGCCACTCAGTGCACTCGTCTTGTGTCCCTGTGGGCACACACACACACACACACACACACACACACACACGGCCAGTGCCCCCTGGGCTCAGCTCCTTGTGCCTGCATTTAGTTGCTACCCCAAAGACACGCAGGAGAGACTGTGCTGGGGACTGGCAGGCTCTGCCCCTGCTCCCCCTTAAGTCCCCAAGAAGCAGGCCCATCCTGAGGGTATGGGGGAGCAAGCCCCTGCCCAACCCGAGCAGCTCAGCCCTACCCCCAAAAACTTGAGCCGACATCCTTGTCAAAAGAGAGGCTGAGGCATTGTCCCAGCAGGGTGACCTTCTGGGCATCAGCCCATCCTACTGTAAGTGCGTGCCAACTTATCCCTATCAATTCCTCAGAGGAGCTGTGAGTTCCAAATTACCACAACGCAAGCAACTTAGGCTTCGTGACAAATCAACCCCATTGCCGTCGAGTCGATTCAGACTCATAGTGACCCTGTAGGACAGAGTAGAACTGTCCCATAGCGTTTCCAAGGCTGTAATCTTTACAGAAGCAGACTGCCACATCTTTTGCCTGTAGAGTGGCTGGTATGTTCAAACCACTGACCTTCGGTTAGCAGCCAAGTGCTTAACCACTGTGCCACCAGGGCTCCTAAGGGCTACATGACAGAGGTGTGTTTTCCATTCAGCATCCTTTCTCAACAAACGCTGAGAATCTCCTAGGCGCCGGGCTGGACACTTGGAGTTTACAGATGAAAGACTCGGTCCCTGCCCTGTAAGCAGACAGATGCCCCACCAGTCTTTGCAGGAGAGTCGGTGTGTTGCCACAGTGGGGGCAGGAGCCAGGGGCAGGGAGGCAGGGACAGGCATCCTCAAGGCACCTTGGCGGGTCAGAGAGGCCCTATGCAGTGGCCTCCCACGTGCTGTCATTTTTCTGGTGGCTGACCACGCCCTCCTGTCCCTCCACGCCGCACTGCTAGCCACCCCTCACACCAGCTGTCTACTGCCCCTTCTCCTCTTCAGCCTCTGGCTTTGCTTTGTCCCCTGGAGAACAACTAGCACCTCCCCTGCCCTAGGCAGAGGGACTGTGAGCTGACTAGGTTCTGGTGGAGAGGCTCTGGAATGGATGTGGCAATGGGACATGCGGAAATCATGTTTCTTCTGAGGTTCTTGGGTGCCGTGGGTCTGGCTTGTCCCTGTCCCCTGCGCCGCCTCCCTTTGCCCAACACCCATCGGCCTGGCCAGTCTCAAGTTCATGATTGCCATCTGATGGTTTATCTCCTTCCCCTCGCAGACAGCTGTCAGAGGAAAATGCGAATCTTCAAGAATACGTGGAGAAAGAAGCCCAGGAAAAGAAGAGGCTAAGCCGAACCAATGAAGAGCTGCTTTGGAAACTCCAAACCGGAGACCCGACCAGCCCGGTCAAACTGTCCCCCACGTCCCCAATTTACCGCTGCTCCTCCTCCGGCCCTCCATCTCCGGCCAGAGTCAGCACGACGCCGAGATGACGCTGCCGTGCAGCCTGCAGTGCCCGGCTGGCTTATCCGCCCACTGAGCGCTTCCATCCTAAGGGAGAATTAGCCAGAGTCGCTGATGGCCCAGAGCTGGTCCTGCACGCATGCTCAGTAGCGGCATAACTGTGTCCCAGCAGAGCCCTCTTCTGATTCCCGGGTACGACTGTCTTGGTATTGGCACACACGTAGGCAGGTACGGGTGGTATAGTCCGATGTGAAATGTGTGACCGTAGTTACAGCCAAAAGAAAGACAACTCTGGCAGTGACTTGTTCTTGAGTGACGAACTTCCACTGCAGAATTTCAGGTTAGTTACAAATAGCTCCATTCTGAACCTACCTGGGCGAATCCTTGCGCACTGCGCCACCATGTGTGTATATTTACATATACCTGTGTACACATGCAGCCGTTCCGAATTGCATTTTTTATAACAAGAAATGCTGACATATTTTAGTGACAGTCAGCTGTTTTCTAATTTGTGCCTCTGAATCATTGGGAAATCAAAATGCATTTCTATCTAGCTTCCCAAGAATATTTCTACCCAAAAACAGAAAGAAAAAAAAAAAAGATACAGAGAAGAAGCGCCTTGCAACCTACCGCCACATGGGATCTATTTAATATGAACACCAGCGATTTGTGAAACGGGAACTGCCTTTGGAACAGTCAGCTTCTTAGTCAACATGAAGTAAGGTCACTATTATTTCATCTGCAAAAGTTTTAATTAAGAATGCTCCTGTCATGAGTGGGAACCCCAGAGAGGGTTACCAGTTTTGCAGATGTTACTCATGACAGGGACTCATCTCTAGTTTCTTAAACACAAGTTTTGCTTTTCTCCTAAAAAGCATCTGGGAATCAGTCATTAAGCTGTTGCCTCCTCGGCAAACACATGGAAGATCATGACCTTCTAGGATGAGGGTGGGAATGGCCTTGGCAATGACCAAGACCATTCACGCCCTATCCTTGCGAAGGAGAACTGCATTGACGGGGTCCTGTCTGGATGTGGCATAGAGTAAGAAAGCGTTCTCCAGCATTCCATGTGGTGTGCTCCGATGCAATGTTGTAAGTGGTCAGGACTCTGAAATAGGACCCTTGGTCAGGCCTCCATTTCATTAGGCAGCCCCCCCAGCCCCATCACTTTGGTTCTGTAACTCAGCCCATCAGTGCACATGGAGATAGCTCCAGGGTTTCAGCAGGGGCTTCCAGAAGGCCCACTCTTCCTTCCATCCTGGGTGACTGAGTTCTAAACTCTGCTAGATCATCACTCGACGTCCCAGAGGCCCAGATGATTGAGCAAAGCCCCTCCTGACAGAGGTCCCCGTCTTGGGCCCAGGAGGGTCTCCCAGATAGAGGAGCCCAGGGAAGCAACCAACCAGCATCACCGGCCCCTGGTCCGGCGCTCGTCTCCAAAATGGTAGAGTTAGAATGTGAAAGGTGTTCACATAGTGCTGTGGAAGATTAGGAGCATGATATACAAAAGAAAGACGTAGTTTTAACAGTTGATACGGGATGATAATGATGCCTTTGTTTCCTGTGCGTGAAAAAGACCCTGCACTTTTCTCCTTCAGACCCCGAAAAAATGTTCTAAGCACACACCTGTCTTTGAGCATGCCCGAGGCAACAAGTCCCACGTAGGAATCCTACGTGGCCAAAGCCGGGAAGCAGGGAAGGAACAGCCCACTGAGGGGGGTTGGTGCATCCAGGGCCCGCCTGCACGGTGCACGCGTGCCATACCGGAATACCCGGCATGCTTCAAAGTTGGGCTGGTGGGCCTCAGGTACACCCGATTTCCAGCAAACCTCCAAGGGTCTTTTGCCTATCCTAGGACCTACGCAGTAGATGCACATTGAAGACATTTTGTTTTTTCCTTTAGTGGCTCTCTCTGCATGACGCTGTGATCTTCAGGTGGGCATTCCGTTAGAGTAGAGCATGCCCCGCCAGCTAGCCCTGGTGACACGTATTTATTGATTCCCAGAGCAGGCACCGCCCGCAGACACACGCCCAGCCACAGCTCAGCTCTCAGTACTGCTTCCAAAACCGCCCCTGCGCAGTGCGGTGACCCAGCAATAGTGACTCCAGTGTTAGGGTAGGACGCGTGCTAGGCGATTGCAGTAAACGTTGTAGCAATGTTAGGACTAAGGAATCCCTCCCTAGGTGGACTTCAGCTTTGCCCTAACCAGCCCTGACCTTGGTACTTGAGTCAATTGCCACATTGCCCTGGCTTCGTTTTTCCGTCATGGACGTTGATCATTGATGCCTCCCGACCTGAACCATCACCTTTCCTGGGACACATGGGACGGCAGCTGCTGTGCCCCCATCTGGCCACTTCCACCCCCACGTCATTAGGATTGGAACCTCTCTCAACACGGAAGTTTTCTCCTCTGCCTCCCAGGCAAGAGCTGTTTCCACCGGCAGATGCTGCAGCCCCCACCTGCCTCAGCCGTGCCCACCAGACACCGCCGTCTCTTCTTGTCACTTGGGAGAAGTGTCCCACCCCTGTCCTCTGCCCACTACATGCTGGGACTCAGCTCTGGATGGATGTCGGGTGGGGCGGGGGTACTGGAGGGCGGACACACTCTGTTATTATCTGAATGAAGTCACGACACTCCTCTTCCTGCTCCTACACTTTCTGTGTTGCATATTTGTGTTTAATTCTAAAGCATATTAAAATTGACTTGAGGGAATGTTTGTGGTATCCACTTATTGTAACTAGAGACCTGCCCCTTGCAGACCCCTTTCCCCGACTTAGCAGGTCCAAGGTCTTCTGGCCCATATCTCCAGCCTAGGATCTCCAACACTCCCTGCCCCAGCCTTTGGGGAGCTCGGTGACTCTGCTGTACAAGGCCATCTAGTAGGTTGGGGTGGAGTGGAGTCAGTTGGGAATAGTATGCAAAAGATTGAGCTCAGTCCCATCACCATTTATTTCAAATTCAGACCTAGATGAGTGTACAATTCTACTTCAAAGAGAGCTGGAGTTGCCCGAAATTCAGTCCATCTGTACCTGGACCATTCCAGAGGACCATGATCACAGGCTGCAGGGGGAGAGGGGATGCCCCATTGGGGTCTTCATGGTCACATCTGTTCCTTACCATGAGCTTTCTCAAGCCAGCACGGGGCCACAGGACCCTGGTGACCCGTAGCTCTCCCTGTGACAAGCCTGAGAGCAGAAGGGGGCACGTATTTCAACCTGAGCACATTCCCCTCCATCCCCCCAGCCTCCAGATGGGGTGGCATCTGGTTTGACTAGCCTGACCTGGAGTATTGCATAGGTGCTTAGCATTGCTTGGGGTCCCAAGGGAGACACCTACACGTGCCAGTTCCCTGTGGTGGTTTTGCAGGGTGTAAGGGGGTGGCAAGGAGTCCTGGTGGTGCAGTGGTTAAGTGCTCTCAGCTGCTAACCAAAAGGTCAACAGTTCGAATCCACCAACCGCTGCATGGGAGAAAGATGTAGCAGTCTACTTCCATAAAGATTACAGCCCTGGAAACCCTAAGGGGCAGTTCTACTCTGTCCTAATGAGTCGCTATGCATCGGAATCAATCTGACGGCCATAGTTCATTTTTCTGAAGAGGGTGGCAGTGACTTTAGGGAAGCTTAAGCAGAGATGCCCTCATGAACAAGTGCTGAACCAGAGACTCTATAGATTATAAGAGACCTCAAGCCACTTCTGGACTTCACTAGGAACACCACCAGATCCCCTCTGGATCATCCATACTTTCCAGATGATTGACTGCAACTACCTATTGGATTAAGGAGCCCTGGTGGTGCAATAGTTAAGTGCTTGGCTGCTCACTGAAAGGTTGGTAGTTCAAACCCACCCAGTGGCAACTCAGGAGAAAGACCTGGTGATCTGCTTCCGTAAAGATTACAGCCTAGGAAACCCTATCGGGCAGTTCTGCTCTGTCACATGGGGTTGTTATGAGTCGAAATCGACTGGACAGCACCTAACACCCTATTGGATGAATGATTTACTCATTACCAGGTCCAAACCTATTAGTTTCTTTTGGGGTATCTTGAGTTCCCTCCACTTTTTTTGTTTTGTTTTTACTGTGGTAAAAACATATATAACAAAACATCTACCAATTCAACAATTTTTACATGTCCAGTTCAGTGACATTGATCGCCTTCATTTTGCTATGCAATCATCACACTATCCTTTTCCAAATTTTTCCACCACTATTAACAGAAACTCAGTGCCCCCTAAGCCATGACTCCCCTTTGGGTTCCCTCCACTGTCCATAGTCCTAACCATACCCTACGATGAGGAAACTCAGCAGAGAAGTAAACTTGGATCCCAAGGGGCCTCCACATGTAGGAAACGAGCTTAGAGCCAGCTTTTCTCCCGTCTACAGAGAACTCTATGTCCACTCCCACCGCTTGCTCACAGTGGGTAGAACAGAGTTTTGAAATCAACTCCCTCAGCCCCGCCTTTGTGCAAAAGACCCTTGGAGAGACCAGCTCCCCCTAAGTGGGAGGCTCCCATGGTCTAGGGGCAGGGAGTGATGGAGGAGTTAAGCTCAGGTAGACAATGAGAAACTGACTAGCTTCCCACATCCGGTTACATTTGAAGGACATTCTCCAGCTGTTGCTCCACTCTTGGTGTGGTCTTCCCAGAGGGCTCTGGGCTTGCTCCCAGACACCCTCATCCATGAAGACCAGGAGGGGAGGGACTGCCCACTTGAGACTTTGTGTCAAATGCTTAATAAATGCACCATCAAAGATGGTAAACCGTTCTGGTAAGACAAAAAAAAGTTAACCAGTTGCCGTGGAGTCGACTCCGACTCATACCGACCCCATGTGACAGAGTAGAATGGCCCCATAAGGTTTTCTAGGCTGGGATCTTTTTTTTTTTTAATTGTGCTTTAAGTGAAAGTTTACCTTTCAAGTTAGTTTCTCATACAAAAATTTATACACACATTGTTATGTGACCCTAGTTGCTCTCCCTATACTGTGACAGCACACTCCTTTCGACCCCGGATTTCCCGTGTCCATTCAACCAGC